GGGGCGGGGCGGGGCGAGGCAGGGCGGAGGCGGCCGCGAGCAGCAGCGGCGCATGCAGCTAAAGATATCGCGCCCCGCGTCACAGAAACGCGCCAGCGAGGCAGGGCAGGGCCGCGGGCGCGGGCAGCAGGGCCCACAGGCAGGGCGGCCCGGCCCCGACACACACACACACACACGTGCAGGCAGTTTCGCGCCTCGCTGCTGCACGCGCGCCCGCCAGCTGCTGCTGCAGCTGCAGCTGCTGCTGTCATCGTTTGCAACGTTATCTCCGCAGCAGCGCGGGCCACGCTTGCATCCGGCCTGCCTGCCAGCCCGCGCGCGCGCGCGAAAAATAAGCGCATCGGCTGATGGTGGCGCATGCAGGCAGGTGATGTTGCACGTGGCGCCAAACACACACGACGCGCAGTAAACAGCAGCGTCACCGCGCCATTAGCAGAGAGGGTATCTGCACGCGCGCCGCGCTGCTGTTGCAACACCAAACCTGATACCGAGCAGATAAAAGAGAACTGCACCGCCGCATGTTCGTGTTCGTCATTAAAAAAATGCAACAACTTTTGACATGAAAAAGTGAACTTGGAAAAATCGTTTAATTTTTGTGTTTAAATTTTTAAAAACGAACTAGATGGCATTACATCTGCATCGGTGCATGCATGGGGTCTGCCCTGGTGCGGTGGCGTCGCCGAGGAGCCCCCTGATGGCCGTGACCCGCGCGGGGCCCGCGCCGGTCGGTTCGGTTCTATCGTGTCGGGGGGCGATATCGATTGTGTCTCACGGCGGGCGATGATGCACCACCTGCAGGGGCGGCACCGCCGCGCTGACGGAGCGGAGACGAGGGACACGGCGAGGCCCGGTGGGGGAGAACGCGCGCGCGCGGGAGAGCAGGGCGATCGGAGCACTCCCCGAATTGTTCAACTTCCGCTATGCCAATCCCGCATACAGTTCTAAAATTGTTTAAAAAACTAAATGCTAAAATTTAGAGGACGGTATCCGAGATCGACACCACCGGAAGTCGAAAAAAACCCGGGAGCTCTCCGATCGCCAGCAGCCGACTGTGCTCGCTTCTCGCTCCAGCGGGGCGGTCTGGCTCGGCGCCGGGGAGGCAGGCAAGCCCGTCGCGCGCCCGAGGCCAGCGAGCCCAGCGGCTGCCTACCCAGCAGGGGGCCCCGAGGGAGCGCGCGCAGCGCAGAGCGGCTGGGGTGGACGGAGTCGTGGGGAGTGAGGAGAGAGAGAGACAGGGAG